ATTTTACTACTTTCTTTAATTGAAATAAAAACGTGCAATTATATATTGCCTTTCACTGGGTGTCTCAAATTGCTTTGTGGGGAAGACAGGGCCTTCGTTTAATGTCTCACCTGAAAGGCACCAACTATGCATCAGCATTTCTGTACTGCTCTGAAGTGTCAGCCTTGGAGTTTTGTCGATCAGTCTAGGACTTAAATTTGAACTCACAATCTCTAAACCAGCTAGGATAGGGTTACTTACCCAGCCACAACTGAAATATCATTTGCTATTTGGTATACTTCATTTTAGAAGATACCCTCTTCAAAGGCTCTTTCCAGTCTTGCCTTCGTAATTCAGATTTCTAATTTGGTAACTCATTTCTGCATTGCCCTTGGCTGCTTTAATCATCATGGAATGAATTTCTTGACTTATTTGATTGAGCTGCAAATTGATTGAGGTAACTGGAGATAGTGACTATGATGTTTACTCTTTTGAAGTTTGTAGTTTGACATTTGCTTTCCATCGTGCGTTTGAAATGCCTTCTATTAATTTTTTACTGATGTATCAGACATCCTGCTTTATACTTTGAAAATTATTGACCCAATGTATTTTACCCCTTTTTTGTATGACTTAAATAATAGTAAATCGCAGCTAGATTTGCCAACTGTGAAAATAGATCTTTTAAGAATTGCAATGTAGGCTTCAAATGTTACTGATAAAAAATTTTAAAAGTAACTGAAGTTTAATCAACTGCTACCCCTTTCAGTAGAAATTATTTAGTTGAGAAGGCTGACAGTGTAAAATAGCCATTCCTAATTTGTGCATTACTAAGTTATTTTGTTAAACATTTATTTCTGATCCTGCCTTCGAATCAACATGCATTTTGTTTTCTGCATTTAAGGCAAATATAAATATAAGTTGTGATAGGGAGGTTTTCCAACCTTTTGTTGACATCCTTTATATTTCCTCCAGCTATAAAGTTGGAAGACCATTTTCAACAGTGTTTCCTCTAATTTTTCTTTATGTATAGCCTGTTTATTACATTACATGATCCTTCACGATAGCTGTGTTTGTGCAAATGTTCTATTCGTTCCTACTATCCTTGTGTCACTGGCAGTGTCAGTATTAATTGTCCATCCTTAATTACTCCCCATCCTTAATTACTCCAGAAGGTACGCACTTTCTTGAACTACTGCAGTCCATGGTGTGGGTGAAAAGAGTAATGAAATTCCTTATGAAGGGTGTCCCAGGAATTTGACCCAGTGATGGAGAACCAATGATAATACAGTCTTAAGTCAGGATGAGATTGGCTTGGAAGGGAATTTGTAGGTGGTGTTGGCGAGGCCATGAAGCTTATAATATCCTCGGCTTTCTTAATATGGTCAGAGAGTTCAAGGGCAGGAAGCTTATGGTGAACCTGTTTATGACATCAGTTTTGTTTCAGGAGTGTTGTGTTCATTACCGGGCACTGGACTTCAGGAAGAATATGAAGGCATTGGAGAGAGTGCAGTAGAAATATACAAGAATGGTTTGGAATTTTCAGTATGAAGTTAGATTGGAAAATTAGGACTTGATTTTTGGAAGAGCGAAGGCAACAAGCAAATCTGATCATTGTAGTTAAAATCAACAGGGGTCTAGATAGAGTTGATAGAAGAATTGTTTCAACTCTTGAAAGGATTGAGAATGAGAGGGTACAGATTTCAAGTAATTTGCAAAAGAAGCAACAATAATGTGAGATAGTTTTTTTTTCTCATATGCTTAGCACTTTGGAGTTTGGAATGTACTTTGTGATAGTGTGGTGAAGGCACTTTCAAATAAGGATTTCAGCATAAAGTTAGACTCCTTTTTGGAAAGAAAGCATGTACAGGGTTACAGGGAGAAGGACATAACATAATGGATCATCTTTGGACTGTGGGAGAAGGCTGGCGCGCCTGACGGAAACCCATGCAGAAACAGGGAGAACGTGCAAACTCCACATAGACGGTTGCCGAAGGCTGGAATCAAACCTGAGTCCCTGGTTGTGAGACGGTAGTGCTATCTACTGTTCCACCATGCCATCGCATTAAGATTTAGGAATTTATATGAGAGTTCAAAATCATTGCAAAAATCCTAAAGATTAGTGCAGTGGTCATGTCCCTGTCTCTGAATTGGTTCCTCTTGCTTCCAGTGGTACATCATAAAGAACAGGTTGATTTAAAAAAAATTCTTAAATGACCAGATCATCAAGTCTTAAGCAATGCTGGTTATGAAATGGATCCTCACTAGGAGTGAGGAGAACTCTCCTCCTCCTCCTCAATGGATTGTCAAGGGATGGTTACATGCACCCAGGTGTGTAGTCAGCACCTCAGTACAACATCTCAACTGAAGGATAGCACACAAAAAAGGGTTGAATAACCTGCTACTTTGCTATAATAATTCTGTGATTTTGTATTCTCACACATTGACTGACCATGTCTTAGTTGGTAGATGTTGATTGTTTGGAAAGTGCTGTTGAAGGATTTGATGAGTTGCCGCAGTATATCTTGTAGATGGTAAACTCCAATGACTCTACATGCTGGTAGTTCAGGGATTGAATGCTGAAGCATGTGGCGCGTTCATATCATTGGTAGTATATTTATGTATTGCTGTTGGGCTTCCCAGATTAGTGGGAATATTGGGCTTTGGTTCTTGTCACAAATGTTGTTACTTCATCAATATTTCCATCTTTCATGGCTGGCCAGTGTCTGAAACTCAAGTGGATTTTCTGCATCTTCAAAATTCTAATTGACCAGGATCTAAGCGCCATGTTCTGCTATCCATTTCGAGGCTGAGTCAGTATAATGCCACTTCTGTAGCATTGCTTGTCACTGGGTTGCAAAAGGTTCTGTTCTTGAGTGCTTTTGCACGTTGATTTGTAAGCAAGTTGCAACACCATGCAGGACAGTATAAAATTGCCATTCATAAGTATGAGGAAACATTCGTATGTCGGATCTTTAAAATTACACCCAAGTATATGGGATTGCTTTCGTAAGTACGAGTGTTCCTAAGTCCGACATTTGTAAATCGGGGGGCACGTACATCTCTGCTTCAACCCTTCAGCTATTGTAAAACTTTTGTTCGTGATTTTGTTGCCTTCAGATTTCATTATTCCAATGTTCTCTTGATACTTGTAACATAATATGTAAAATTCTGACAGTGAGCCAACAAATTCACATTTGTACAATTTGTTGTCACCTTCACTCCTCTCCTCTCTTGGGTTGGTGACTGGGGCGAGAATCATTGGCTCCTTCTCGGGGTGTTTGTCGAGCATTGATCACTTTGACAGACAGGTCCAGCAGACTATCGGATGATAAAAAATACTGCAGCTAAGCCCTCAAGTTGTTCTTGCCCAGTCTCCTCCCTGAGATAGCACTCCAAATTGGGAATGCTGAATGATTTTCTCTCCCTTATCCATGAGGTTGAAATGAACTGTGGATGTTTCGTTGCAGTGGGAAAAACACAGTACAAATTGACAATCCTAGTTGAGGCTTTTCTGATCTATAGGACTGTACTATTCATTTGGAAAACTGTTACATCAGTTTCTGTATGTTTGACATTTTTCTCAACCTCATCAACTTCTCCAAGTCATTTCCCGGATGATGAATCTCTTTCTAAATGTCTGTTTCTGTGTGGGCGTAAATAATTTGACTCCTTCTTTGATCCCTTTTGTACATTTGGTGTTTGAGAACTGTCCTGATCCAAGCTGGGTGTAATAGTTTGACCTTACTGTATGAAACTCTTCTCAGATACCTGTTGTACTGTACAACGCCAATGCAATTTTTATTTATTGTGGACAGTATCTGAAAATTGTTTTTCTTTTGTTGGACAAAATAGTTCAGCTTAGCCAGCAGCAGCTGCTCGCTGCACTGGAAAAATCATTTACAGCCTTTTGACATTAGAGGATGTTTTTGTGCAAGTGAAATACTATGTAATAGATGGCTACTGCAAGTCAGACATTGAAGAGAAATTGTAACTTGTACTTGGACCTTCAATATGAAAAGTAATACTACTTCCATAACCTATGCTGATCCCTCACATCACTCATAAGTGGAAATTAAATGAGATTTCGGTTCTGGGGCAGTTATTTTCACTTTATTACTGCACAATTTGTTTTTCTAAAACTTGGTTTTCATGTTTGCAAATATTGCTGTGATAACCTATACACTTGGGATTTCTTGAATCTCAGATAATAATGAAAATTCTGTTAATTTGAATATTATCAGGTTTATTGATGAAACTGTATTTGTCAGTATACTTTAATATTGGACCTGTATGAAAGGAAAAGTTGATTTCTAGAATATTGCAGAAGACCTCTCAACTCAAATTATGCTTGTGTTAGCTCTTTATTGAAGCTATCCAATTAGTCCCACTCACTTGCTCTTTCCCCATTATTCTGTAAATTTCCTTCGTGTTTATCCAGTTTTATTTTGAATATTATTATTAAATCATTCTACTACCCCTTTAGACAGCACATTCTAGATAATAACCTGCAGATACACTTACTTTCCAATCTTCTGGAAATGTTGTCCTCTGGTTACCAATCCTTCTGTCATTTGCGACACGTTCTCCTTTTCTCACTCTTTCAAAACCAAACATGATTTTGAATGTCTCCATCAAACCTATTCTTAAGCTTCTATGCTTGAAGGAGAACAACCCCAGCTTTCTAATCTCTCCATATAACTGATGTAAGACACTCTCATTTTAGTCCAGTAAATTGCTTCTGCATGATCTTGGCACCCTTTCTAATGTGTGGCTCCTGGAATTGAACATACCAACCCAACAAGAGTCTATCAGTGTTTTATAAGGTTAGCCATTTGTACTGTTATCTGCAGTTTCTGTTTGCAAAGCCAAAGATGCTTTGACAGCCTTTCCAATTTATCCTGTCTACTTCAACATTTTGTTAGCAGGTCTGCAGCTGTCTTGCACCCATTTTAACATGATACTTGAAGGTTCTCATTGTCCCTTGGTGTGAACCTTTGTTTTTGTGAGCCTGATCTCCGGTGATGGTTGCTGCCCTCTTTGTTTCTGGTGTCACCTTTTTGGCTTATCAGCTCAGGATTCACTTGGAAGGGGAAAGTAAAACAACACCTCAGTTGGTTCGGCTCTTTGACTGTTCACTGTACTGAAACTCTTTATAACTTTAAAAATCTGTTAAATCTGCTCTTAGTTATGACTGTTGCTGTGAAAATGATCCCTCTTTTTCAAGCCTCTCCTTGTAATTGTAGTTTCACACCCCTTACTAATTAAATCTACAGTGTACATTCACCATGACTTTAATACACATCTGTTGGAAGTGCTGAATATTGCTGAGCATGTCCTTGTAGCTAACAGTAAGAGTTTTAAAAAGTGGTCATTGATTCAAAAATATCAGTGTGTGAATCAAGATTATACATGATTTGAGAACTTGATTTCCAAAGTAGAGATAAATAGCTTTTCAGTTCATGAAGGTGATATGTTTTTTTCTCTGTGGGTTGGACACTCATTTTTAAGAATTTGGTCAAAGCAGTCTATCCTAGAAATCGTGTGACTTTAAATGATTAGTTAAGCTGTCTGGTGAGATATTTACTAAGTTGAGCTTTTATAACCTACAGAAAGAAAAGCCAGAAGCAGGTTCAGTTCAGAAGAAAAGACCCAGACCAGCACATTTCTTGTTTTAGCAGCCTCAAAGTCGTCAAAGTCAATGAATTAGCCTGTCTGCATATCTTGGGAAGAAGGAGAATGAATCATACCTAGCGAATGTGTGCAGAAGGTTAGCAACAGGAATTGTTTGTGACCTCATCTGTACAGTAAGAAATTAGAGTGAAGGAGGACATGTTATTTCACTAGGGTTGAGTGTATGTAAAGGATATTGCTGAGAAAAGGGTTGACTCTTGCCTTTTGCTGTTGATGATAAGATCTTTCTGAATTGTCATACACAAGATTTGTTTTGTTTCTTTTCTTTTGTCGAATAAGCTTATGTTCTTGTGTTAAAAGAATATCGGCAGTCTTGTCTGAACACATTCAGAACTGACCTCCACAGTAACCAAATTGCAAAAATAAAATTTATGGCCTATCAAGGAAAGGTTCACTCTGGTATCTGTCTTGCCTGGTATTGCCAACTGCTGAGATCACAACTTTAGGAATATTGGCATTTATATAAAGCCTTGTGTCATCTCAGGATGTCCCGAAGTTCTTCATAGCCAATAAAATACTCTTGATGTGTATTCACTATTTTAATGTAGGAAATGTGGCAGCCAGTTTGTATACAGCAAAACAAAACCCACAAACAACATATGATAATAGCCAGACAGATAACACTTTTCCGGTATCCTTTTCAGGACACCGAGTTACTTAGTTGTTACTTAAAATAGTGTGATAAATGTATATGAGATAGTAGGAACTGCAGATGCTGGAGAATCCGAGACAACAAGGTGCAGGGCTGGATGAACACAGCAGGCCAAGCAGCATCATAGGAGATAAATGTATATAATATGTTTGCAATTTGGAATTTTAAAACAAAAATTTTGGCTGAATTATTTTGGTTAGTCTTGTGAAGGCGTTATTTTTTGATCAGAAAATCATTTGGGCAGTGTCCTAAATGCATCATTTATGGCTAGGCATGGAACTTCAGTCAGTTGCCTAGTCTGTAGTGTTAATGGATAAAATGTTTATGCTGTTGAGTTTGATAGATAAACGCATTAAGACATTACTTTCAGACATCCCAAAGAAAGCTCAGTGGGTTTAGATGCACTTGGGGTTCAGTTCAGAAGAAAATAGTTTTCTTCTAATAGGGAAACCAAATCTTTCAGTTTAGATCAGAGGAATTGCAGCAAAAACAGTTTTTAATCTGAAGTTTCCAAGCCAGGAGAACTTAAATAGAAGTCTTCAAGTTTTTGGAATTGAGAAAGTTTAGGCCACCAGAATTGTGAAAGATTCATGTCATCAGACTCTGAAAGGAATCTTAAAAGAAAACTGCCTCAGCGGTCCAAAGGAAAGAAACTGGAAAGCATCGTTTAAGTAAAGATCTGAAAGTCAGAGATAAAAGTGATAATTCTCTGAAATTGAGTATCTGAAATGGATAGTGTTAGGAAACAGTTTGAAACTTTGTTCTAATATTTGTGTTAAGGAGGGCGGCATGGTGGTTCACTGGTTAGCACTGGTGTCTCACAGTGCTAGGGATCCAGTTCGATTCCAGCTTTGGGCGAATATCTGTGTGAAGTTTGATTCTCCCCGTGTCTACGTGAGTTTCCACCGGCTGCTCCAGTTTCGTCTCTCAGTCCAAGGATGGGCAGGTTAAGTGGATTAGCTATGGTAAATGTGCGGTTACAGGTGTAGGGTGGGATGCTCTTCAGAAGGTCTGTGCGGACTCGATGGGGTGAATGGCCTCTTTCCACACTGTAGGGATTCTGTGATTCCATATTCCTAAATGTGTTCTATAGACAACTTTGCATCCTTTTGTCTAATAAACCTTTGTTTTGTTGAAGAACATCTGTAGCCTCATGGGAATATGTCAAGTAACACCAAAGTAACAATTTCAAAATAAAGTACATGTTCTGTCAAGCCATTCATTCTGGGATCTGACGTATCCGTTATTAGTGTAAGTACGGATCATAACAGCAATGCTGTGAGATTTTCTGCGTGAACTTGAGGAGCCAGATGGGGGTCTGTGTTTACTCCCCATATGCTCTGAACGGAGAGTGTTTTTAACTAAGCAACAGCTGACACAACCTGTTCCTGTCATTGCACAAATTGGAACCATGCTCCAAACAACAAGCTCAGTGTTAAATTATTTGATAATTCTTTTCTGTGGTGCCAATAGTACTCACCTTTTGCTACAGCAGCAAGATTTTATCAAACAGCAATTTCCATTTTGGAACTTGACTAAAATGTGTGATATTCTAATAAATCTAAAGCTCCTTTTTGAATACTTTCAATTGTTCCCTTCACCACCGCCATCTATGAAATCCATGCATTGACCTCATCTCTAAAACATGTTCCATGTTTGAGAGGCAAAATTTGAATTTGGAAGGTGAATATATTGTGCAAATACCACATACCTATTATTAATTTATCCTTTTACTAAAGTTCTAGTAACAATGCTGGTTGCATCTCCTTTTTTTGTACTTCACCTTTGGTAGCTTGCCTCAACTTCTGTGTTCCTGATACACGAAATTCTGCACAGGCTAGATAGTAAACTAAGAATGCTGCAAATACAGGAACAGTTGTTTAGAGAGAGATGTGCCAAGTTAAAACACAAGGTAAATATGTGCACGTCATTTGGCGTACCCAAGAGTATGAGGATAAGAAAACATTTTTGTAAGGTTGAAAAAAAAGAAAAACTTAATATCCACATACTTATGCATGTTGTTGCTAAGACCATTAATTTCCACATCTGTATCATCGTTCATTTCTGTTCCTGTCTCAGTTGTTCTATGGAAACCCTCTTGGCATTCATGAACACTCTTATTTTGTACCCTCATAAACTCGGGTCATCCAAAACTCTGTTGCCTGTCTCAACTCTCACCATTCGCCCTTATTGTCCCTGAATTGTAGTATCCACCATTTTAAATGTTCACTCCCTCTACCACCAATGCAGCAATGTGTGTCATCAAGATACATTTTAGCATTTCACAAAGCACCTTCAACGTCTTCCAAACTAAACCCAATAACTTCTACCATCTAGAAGGACAAGGTACTTGGGCCAACCACCATCTTCAACTTCCCATTTAAACCACAAATCTGCCTGACTTGGAACTATATTGCGGTTTGTTCACTCTTGGTGTGTAAAAAAACTTCAGACTCCATCTTGAACAGCACTGTATGTTCTTGACCTGCGACTGTCCATGGTGGTTAAGAGGGCAGCTTACCTCCCCCTTGTCAAGGCCTGTTATTGATGGCCTGTAATGTCCACATCTGTGAATAAATGTTGAACTATCAGTTGTCTTGCCATCAACATTTTGGACCTTAAGCTCCAGAATTCACTGTACCTCTCTATTTTTTTTTTCTACTTCAAAACACACCTTAATACTTACCTCTGATCGCGATTTGGACATCTTGGACAAGATTTGGGGGAGGCAATGGCCTAGAGGTATCATCGCTGGACTATTAATCCAGAGATCCAGATAACATTCTGGGGACCTGGGTTCAAATCCTGCCATGGCAGATGGTGGAAATTGAATTTTAAAAAAAATCTAGAGTTAAGAATCTAATGATGACCATGAATCCATTGTCAATTGTCAGAAAAACACATCTGGTTCACTAATGTTCTTTAGGAAAGGAAACTGCCATCCTTACCTGGTCTGGCCTACATGTGACTCCAGATCCACAGCAATGTGCTTGACTCCTAACTGCCCTCTGGGATGGGCAATAAATACTGCCTAGGCAGTGATGCCCCCATCCTTTTAATGAATAAAGAAAAAAAATGTTGGCCTTAGTATCTTCCTATATGACTTGGTTTAATGCATTTTGTTTTACAAAACCTCCAAAGCAGCATGGCATGTTTTAAAAGTGTTATTTAAATATAAGTCGTTGTTCAGTACAGGCCCAGAATATTAATACGTTCCCTTTGTAGGTGCTGTGTACTTCCCCCATTTTCTGCTTTTATTCTTGAACTTTCAATGGTTGATTTACTGTTTAATTGGGCTTATTTCTGAGTTAGTCGGATCTGTCAGCTCAACAACGAATTCACTTGTTAACACAATCTCTATAAATTAAAAGAATTGCAGCAGTATTACATAGCTGTGCACATTAAACTACCAGTCACTGTATACTTTGTTGTGTTGATTTGCCTCGCTTTTATTTCGCACCTTAATTGGTTTCCCTGCAGCTAATGTTCAATTCATGGCAGGACAATGTCAGTAACAACTATGGAACCTCATGTTTGCTGCTTGATATGACTATAAGCTCTACGACCAGTGAAAGATTGGATTGAATATTGTTGAAAAGGAGACACCCTAGTGAAGTTATTCGTTTTGCACTTATCAGGACAGACACATTACCAAATTTCAAAAGGAACAAGAATTTATGCTATGTGAGAAAAGATTGTCATAGGTCATTTGATCACAATGTGAGTTTGATAACAAAATAGGGCACTTCAA